TCTTCTGTTTGATCACTGCACTCCAACTATACTGGTCTTCTTTCTGTTTAATTGAACAAATCAAGCTCATTGCTGACTCTGGGCCTTTGCACTGTTTGATTCTTCAGTGTGGATCTCTCTGCAGATGTTTGCATGGCTCTTTTCTTTGGTTCATTCAGGTCTCTGCTCAGATGTCACTGCCTCAGAGGGGCCACTCTAAGGAAAGAAGAACCCATTCCCCAGCATAATCTATCCCAACTATACTTCATAGCATGTGCCATTATCGAAAAGGATCTCATGTATGTATACCCTATGATCTGTCTTCCCAAAGACTAAGTACCATGGAATCAGCAAACTGGTCTCTTTTACTATTGTATTGCCAGTGTTTAGAAGGGAGCTTTGCTTAATATGGGAGTTCAATAACTATTTGTAACATAAATGGACAAATGGTGCTCCTTCCTTTCCCTCAGTTGTCCAAGAATCTCAGAGATTATGCTTGTTACTGGTATACTGTGTTCCTGCTGAAATCTGGCACTACACAATGTGCAGAGGGTGCCTATCCACGGGAGGCTGAGATCTCTGCTCAGGCTTCAGTGAATCTTTAACAGAGACTAAAGCCACTCTATTCTTAGCTCAGCCAAAGTGCCTCTTTTTTTTGTGCTCCTATGGCTGTGTTCTTCCAATCCCCATGCACAGCTGCCTCCTAGAGGCTTAGGTGGTCCCCGAAGCACTGAGTTTCAGAAGTTGTTCTAGATTCTGCTACCCTATCGCCCCCAAACCACTGTGCTGATGGAAGGACCCCCACTGCTAATCCACAGAAATTTTCTGTCACTTTCCTTGTTAAAGAGGGAGAAGGAGTGGGCAGGGGGAGGGCAGAGAGGGAGAAGGAGAGGGAGGAAGGAAAAAGGAAAGAAAGGAGAAGAAAGAAGCACAAATTGAATTTGAGTTTATCCTTCTGAATAAGTGATTCATTCATTTATTCATTTAATAAACGTTTATTAGTTGCCAAGTATAAACTGTAAATTAGAGTGCCAACCAGGCACTCTTCTAGACACATTATTTTGTAATTGCCATCATCATCTCCACTTTATTCTTCATCATGAGTCTGTATTAGATTGTGAATTTGTTAAGAACAGAGACAGTCTTTCATTGTATTTAGTGCTCAATAATTGTCTATTGCCTAAGTAAGTGAAAAAGAGAAAAGAGATAATGAAAGTCTTAAGATTTGGCCCAGTTATGTTTATATTTAAATGAAAACAAAGAACAGCAATTGCTTTTTAGATTGTACTATGTTACTACATTCAAGTAAATTTTAAATGTTTAATAATTATCATAACCTCACCACCCTAGCACACATACATTTTTTCCATGTTTCTTTTGATTTTTATCCATTTATATGCATATTTTAAGTATTTGTTATGCTAGGACATTTTCTATGTCATCTTCTGTCTTTGCACTTTACATTAATAACAAACATTTTTGTATGTTTTTACATTATCATCATCTTTATGACTTTCTATAAGTTAGCAATTTCACTTTTCTCATTTTTGAAACTCTTGTGGGTTCCCCGAGGTCCCTAATACTGTGAACCTCTGAACAACCTGTCAGGGGTTTCTGTGCTTCTTTCATGGACAGCGTGTTTAGAAAGTCCCTTGGAAAGCACATTTTATTCTGGAGAAAGAGATAATGCCACGTCAAAGAGCAGGACGTCAAACCCAGGTGCACTCAGGAGAGAAGAAAGGTGTGCCTAGCAAGCCACTCTGAACTACGAAGAGTTGTGTAAGGGTGATAACTTAGCTCAATTCTGCAGTTTAACATGTTTCTACCTCCTGGACTTTGTGTAGCAGCCTGCTTGTTACCATCTGCTCAGCTTTTGCTTATCTTTCTGTTTTGCATAAAGCTTTTGCTTTCAATATGCTGCTACTGAGTAGAGAAAAACAAGAGAACACCAGGCTTCAGGAATCGGCCTGTTTCTCTTCTGCCTTTTAATGCAGCTTAGTTCTTTTGTCATTTGTTACTGTCAAATGTGAGATGAGTACAGAGAAGGACTATGACATCTGACACAGGATGCTGACCTTTGCAGAAATTTGCAGGAAATGGAGATTTATAGGAGCTTCTCCTCTGTCACTCTCATCTTGGAAATAAGTCGAAGTACATTTGCAGAATTATATTGAAAATAATTGGGAAAAATGTGTTTTACTTTATAGCCAATTCTTCTGGAATAGAACTAGTTTTAATGAAGTAATGAAGAAATGGCTTTTGTAACTAAATGTTAACTAATGTGATATGAGCTGTGAACCCAGGACGGGAAATGAGAGATCAAACTAAAGAATGGAAAGGGGGAAGTTCTCTGGGCACCTTGCCCTCAAATCTTAGAGACAAGCCATATTTTGTAAACCAGAGAATTTAGATTCAGATTATTATGTGTTAATTTCTCCTCTCTTATTTGCTAAACTTATCAAGTTATGTTTTAGTAGTAATGTTACAGTTTGTGTTATAACATACATGTTTGGGCCAGAGTTTAATGGGGACCAGCATCATCCCTGGGAAGCCAATGTATTGTTAGCAGGTATAATTAGAGAAAGAAGATGAATCTGGTGATAGGGCACCCAAAAATTGAAAGCCAAATTGTTTAGGGACCCCTTTCCAATAGATCTCCTGTGAGAGCCCATCTTGAATATTATTATTTCAATTTAATTTTATTTTTGTTACACAAGGTAGTTATCCTTTAAGAAGTATAATTGAGCCCAGAAGAATTCTTTTGAAAATATTTAAAATAATGTGAGAAAATTAAATTAGGTAGAACTTAAATAATGACATTTTTATAAACTCTAAAATCTAGTACCAATTAAGAGTATGAGTAAAAGACCAATCAAGAGTATGAATAAAAGAATAAAGGAGTTATTGCATATCCAAAGTCTCATCTACTTTGACATTTATATGATAGGCTTAATCATTTATCCATTTTCACTTAACATTTACTGAATGATATTAAGTGCCAGGTATTATAGGAAGTGAGGAGAATACTGTTATCTATGTCAGTTTTTAGTGATTTCAGAATGTGTTTGGATAAGCAAGAGCTAAATGTATGGGGCATAAATTCTTTAAGCATGAGAGTGGGCTACCCACTCAGGATCTTATCTGTGCTCTGCTAGTGCTGTATGTATATGTACGTGCACCCTTGGAAACCTCACTTGAGAGGACAGACTGTGGGTGATACCACCCACCTTTTTCTACCACTCCATTTTGTCTGAAATTTAGTCACCTTAATCACTCTTTACTATAAAGCCCCACAATTTAAACACCAGGCAATTACAGCATATGGTGTTTTAGCCCTAATGAACCTCTTTTATTACACAGAATATCTTCATGGCAGGCCTGCCTCTAATATTTATGGGACCAGGTAAGAATACAAATGGAGGCCAGTGCACCATGTGCAACTATTTGAACACTGTGCTTGTCAGTGTTGAAACCATAAATTGGAATACTAAGAAAAGGGAAATCTAAGCGTGATGCCACTTATTATGCAAAACAATACTTTGTTATGCAAGAATCTATTGCATTCAAGAGGAAGAATTCGACAAGTTAACTAATTTGTTTTCTCTGTTACCTAAGCACTTCTGCTAAAATTCTGCTTGGACTCCAGTCTCTGTCTGATATGGGCAGCTGTACCACCCACAAATTTTCACTGCATTTGGAGTCACACTTTTTGTTTTGAATACACAGGGCAAGAGATAGGAAGAAGTGTTTCCCAGGGGCCTGAGTAGTATTATTCATGAGAGAGGGTACCAATGGTCATGGGCCAATGTTCTGCATCAGATCAGGAGTGACAGAGGCACCTATGTGTTTTTGAATAAATAAATGTGTGGGTTTATGATATACACAGTCCTTTAAATGATACATATGATATATAAAGTCCAGGATAAGGGCCTCTCCTACCCAGGTCTAAATGAAGTAGTGCTTAGTGATGTAAGGAATTTAATATCAAGCCCATTTGTAGGACGATGTAGATGGCTTTATTTCTGCTGGAATTTCTTCAGCTTAGAGAATTGTAGCAAATACGTAAGTTTGACTTTCCCAAAAATTAGGTGTGGCAGTGTTAAGAAGACATTTTAAAGAAAGGAAATAGCAAACATATACAAAAAAGAGCAGAGCAGTGAGCCACCATGTTTCCATTTATCCAGCTTCAACAATTACCACCTCACGGTCAATCTTGTTTCATGTATACTTCTCTCATTCCCCTTCCCTCAGTGAAATTTTTTTTTTTTTTAGAGGACATCTCTCATATTTATTGATCACATGGTTGTTAACAATAAAATTCTGTATAGGGGAGTCAATGCTCAATGCACAATCATTAATCCACCCCCAGCCTAATTCTCATCAGTCTCCAATCTTCTGAAGCAGAAAGACAGTACTGTTCATCACCTTTAGTCTGCTGAACTATGTTATCATCACTGTACTCAGTGAAATATTTTAAAACGAACCCTAGATGTCTTATCATTATTTCCTACATACATGTATATGTGTGTGTGTATAATATTCTTAAAAAGATACTATTATCCAGTTATTCCTAATTGAACATTTTACAGTTTCATCCTTGTGAAAGGCACAGTACAGATTTCACTTTTAAGCAGGAAAACGATTTCCCATGAAGAAACAGTGTTGTAGTGTTATGTTTGAAGTTACAAGATGTGAGGAGGGGCAATGTGCATGTATAGTTAAAGCTACACTTAATCCATTTGTGGAGCTTGGCTCCAAGAACGGCAAATTTCGGTCCTAGCTGACCTGGTGGCAGTGAACTTGAGACCTTGCTACAAGGGTTTCATTTTTTTCTCCCTAATCTCTCGAAGGCAAGCTGTGGGAAGGAGACTGAGTTGCTCTGCTGTGTCAAGGCATGTTTAAACTTGTTTCTTTTTCCAAAATGTACAAGTTGCTAAGAGAACCATGGATTTACATGAACAAGTCCTGGGAGAGACTTAATTTTAAGAACTGCCTAGGTCAGCGAAATTCCTTCATTTCAGGTCACGTTCGTGCCGTGGGCCGCCCTGACAGGTTTGCCCGGCGTGCTAGGGGTCAGAGGCTTCAGCCGCGACTTCGTGCCTGGGTCTTGCGTAGCTCCAGTGGCTCCCAGGCGACATAGGGCGTTTCCTCTTTTTCCGGCCTTGTAAAGTTTTGTTTTGATTCTTAGTTCCCGGTCAAGGAGAGACACCCTGTTGACCAAGGTTTCTCAGAGTCTCCTCGGGTGGCTGGAAGCCAAGTTTCCCTGATCCCAGTTGGCCCAGACTTGGGTCCTTTGGAGATACTCCAAGGCCGGGGAAGTGAAACCTGTGAGGAGGAATAGAGTGGGCAGCCAGGTAGCCGGCTCCACAGCTGCTGGCTGGCTCCTCTCTCCCTTCCGTCCCTGGGCCAGTACTCTTCACACTGCAAAGGGTGCGGGCCTCCCCGGTGACTCCTAGGGACCTGGTTCTCCACCATTCCCAAGAGAATACTCAACCTCGGCCGCACCCGCGCTGGGGAGTGAGGAAGGCAACTAAAACCCCGGCATGTAGTCCGAAGCGCATGCGCAACCGGGCCGTGGCGTTTAAGTGCTGGCCGTGCGGCGGCAGCCGCTAGGTGGCGCATGCGCCCTAGAGGGCGCGGGCCGGTCTCCGGGAAGAAGCCGGCGGCGGCGGCGGCGGCGCGGTGAAAGGCGGGGGCGCCGAGGGGGCCGGACCCGTGTTTACACAGCGGCGGGAGGGCGCGGACGCGCGGAACCCGGCGCGGCGGCGGCGGCGGCGGCGGCGGCGGCGGCGGCAGGATGGTCATGGCGCATTTCGTGGAGAATTTTTGGGTAAGAGAAGGATGTTGGAAATTGTGTGGGTTTCGGAGTCCGCGGCTTTTTGCGCCTGACCTCGGCCTGCGTGCGCTTCGAGCGGCGGCGGCGGCGGCGGCGGCTCCGCGGACTGGGCGGGCGTCCTCGGACCGGGCGGGCGTCCTCGGACCACCGCCGCCGGGTCCTGCCTGGATGAAGCCCGGCGGGCGACGGGTCACCGGCCGCCCAGGCTCGCAGGCTCGCAGCCCTTGCGGGGGGCGGAGGCTGTCAGCACGGCCCCTCAGCCCGCGGCGGGGACGCCGAGGGGCCGCCCGCCGCCAGCGCTGGGACAAAGCGCCGGATGGGGCGGGAGATGGGATTCGGCCCTGCCGGAGGCTCGGGGCGCCGGGCGCTCTCCGCGGCCGCCCCCAGCTGTGTGCGGCCGGCGATTGCTGGCCGGACCCGGCTGAGGGGCTCTCCCCCTTCCCGCACCGCAGTCCCCCATCTTAGCCCGTTTGCTCCCTCCGTCCCCCATTTCCACTGGAAATCCCGTGTGGGCTTGGGCCGGATCAGCACTTCCTCTCGGCCTTGCAGCTCGGATCTTTGGTCTGCGTCCAGGACTTTGCCTCTGGGCCTGTTCGCAAAGCGTATAAAAGTTGAATTTAATGTAACTGAATTCCTTGGGCTTAAGTGCACCGAGACTTCCCCTTGTCCCCTGTGCTCCTTCCCCTTCCTCATTCTTTCCACACCCCTCCTACCTCAGTCTTAGTATTAGGTGTTTCTTTGAGAATGACTTCCCACTCTCCCTGTGGAGTATTTTTTTTTTTTTTGCAGTTACTGTTTTTTGTAATGGGAAGTATGGATGAGCCATGCCTGGGGAAGTAACATGTTATTCAGGTATCTTAGGTGAATCTCATTTTATGTCCGGACAGTTCCAAGTACTACAATTCCATTCTAGTTAAGATTTAGAAATATTTAAAGGAGTAATCTTTCAGTGAATAAGAAGTGTCTTAAATCCTTTTTCCTAGGAGTCTCAAGCATGGATTTACTTAGTAATCCAATCAGTTCATAGTCACTTGTCTTGTTTCTTGTTTTCCACAAGCGGCATAAATACTAGACATTACTTTTTTTTAACAGCTTTATTGAGGTACAGTTAACATCCATATAGCACAGCCACTTAAGTGTACAATTGAAAGATATTTTCTTTGTTCATGAAATTGTGCACACATCACCACAATCAATTTTAGAACAACTTCATCACCTCAGAAAGAATTCCTGTATCAGCAGTCACTACCCATTTTCCTCCTACCTCAGCCCTAGGTAACTAACTGATGTGTAGATTTTTGTCTCTATGGATTTGTCTATTTTGGACATATATAAATGGGGTCATATATGTGGTCCTTTGTGACCTTCTTTCACTTAGTGTGATTCCAAGTTTCATCCACAATGTAACATGGATCAGTACTTATTTCCCTTGGAATATACATGCCATTTTTATTATTCATATGTCATCGGTGATAGACATTTGGTTGTTTTCACTTTTTGCTGAATAATGAATGAATGTTCGTAACAATGAATAATGAACACTATCAAGAACATTTCTGTACAAGTTTTTGTGTGAACATGCGTCTTCATTTCTTTTGGGAATGAAATTGCTTGGTCACATTGTAACTCTGTTCAACATTTCGAGGAACTGCCAAACTGTTTTCCAAGATTTCAAAGACATTTTACAAACCCACTGGCAATGTCTGAGGGTTCCAGTTTTTCCACATGCTGGGCAACACTTATCTGCCTTTTTTATTATTGTGGATGGATGTGAAATGTGTCATTGTGGTTTTGATTTGCCTTTCTCTGATGGCTAATGATGTTGAGTATCTTGTGCTATTGCCTATTTATATATTTCTTTGAAGAAATATGTTTAGATCCACTGCCCGTTTTTAGATGGGGTTATTTGTCTTTTTATTGTTGCTTTGTAAGTGTTCTATTTATATTCTGGGTACATGTCTTTTATCAGATACATGATTTTGTAAATATTTTCTCCCATTCTGTGGGTTGTCTTTCTTGATCGTGTCCTTTGAAGCACAGAGGTTTTAAATTTTAATGAAGTCTTGATGAAGTCCAATTGATCTAATTTTTCCGTTATCATTTATGCTTTTGTTGTCTTATATAAGAAATCTTAACTAACCCAAGGACACAGATTTACTCCTATGTTTTGTATGGGTTTTATAGTTTTAGTTCTTAACCTTTAGGCCTATGATCCATTCAAAGTTAATTTTTGTGTATGCTGCCAGAAAAGGTGCAATTTAATTCTTTCACTAGTGAGTGGGTATTTTGTCATGTTAATGAGGACTTTGAGACCTACACCTAAGGGGCTAGAGGTTGAATCAGCCAATGGCCAATAATTTAGTCAATAATGACTGCAGTGAAGCCCTCACAAAACCCAGAAGAGCTTGCTCTCTCTGCTCGGTTGCATCCTGCTTCTTCCCGCTCTTCTTGGTCGGAGAAAGAAAGCCTCCGCATGCCACCAAGTCAGGCCCCAGGCTCCACTAGGATAGAAGCTCTTTTATTTGGGACCTTGCCCTATGTCTCTCTTCATCTGGTTGTTAACTGGTATCCTTTACGATATCCTTTGTTAAACTGGTAAACGTTAAGTGTTTTCCTGAGTTCTATGAGCTGCTCTGGCAAATTAATGGAACCTTAGGGGAAGGTCATGGAAACCTCCAGTTGGTAGCCAGTAGGTCAGAAGCAAAGGTGACTGCTTGGGGCTTGCGACCGGAGTCTGGAGTGGGGGGTGAAAGGCAGTTTTGTAGGATGGAGCCCCTTAACCTGGGAATCTGGTGCTGTCTCCAGGCAGATAGCATCAGAATTGAGTTGAGTTCTCCAATACCGTGCTGGTGTTGGAGAATTGCTTACGTATGTGTGGGAATACCCCTCCCACATATTTACATACATTGGAATCTGGTACCCGAATGAACTTACACTATTACTGCTGTGTATAATATTGTTGCTGTTATACATGTATATAGGCAAGAAATATACCATCTCATTTGGTGTTGGAGGTGTATCAAGTTGTTCCAGCACCACTTGTTGAAAATGCTTTTCTTTCTGCATTCAGTGTTCTTGGCATCCTTGTCAAAAATAATATGTTGACCATCTATGGTCATGGGTTTGTTTCTGCATTTTCATTTTCATTTCGTTGTCTATCCTAATGCTAGCACCACTCTGTTTTTATTACAATAGCTTTGTAGTAGGTTTGAAATCAGTAAGTATGAGCCCTCCAGTTTTGGGCCTCTTTTTCTGTTTCAGCTATTCTGGGTCCCTTACAATTTCATATGAATTTTAGGTTTTGCCTATCAATTCTGTTAGTCTGTGTACCTATCAATTTTAGACTTTAGGTTTTACAGTAGCAATTAAAAATTTTTTAAGGATCCTTTAAAAATTGACATTTTTATAATGTTTTGCATATGTTTTGGTGCATGAATGTGTTTTTGAAGTTTGTTAACTTAATTCCAAATTGCACAGTAACATTTTAAAGTTAGTTGTCTTTTGTTTTTTGTTAATTGAGCTTAGAATATAGCCTACCTTGAGTTTTTGGCAATTAATAAATAATGCTTCTATGAACAAGTTTTTACATGCTTCTTGCTTGTGTCTCTTCATAGAGGAACAGGAGTAAATTTGGGTATCTGAAATCTAGAGAGAATACCAAGTCTGATTTATGTTTGTCTTTGCCTTCATTTCACTATTGAGTACAAATAGTTAGATTACATTTTAATTTACTTCCAATCCTGGAATTGGGACTGATAGCTCTCTAAAATGGAGCTTAAAAAGCTCTAAAAGAGGGCTAAATGAACTAGGAAAGTCTAGAAACTAAATAAATAACTTCAGACAATTTGATAGTTTTCTGTTGAAGACAACTTAAAAATTTATGTATTCCAGGATCATTTATAAAATAAATTCTTAAAATAGGGAACTTAATATAATAATTCCACCTTTCTCCCCCAATATTTAAGGTGGCACTGTCAGAACAAAATAAATTTTGTCAAAGTGCAGTAATGGGAACCTTTAAAGTTTAAGGTTTCTACTAAAACAACCTATTAATTGTTTTTTTTTCCCTGCATAAAGACAAACCTTTTTGTTGTGGCATTTTGTTAGAGCAAAGTTTGAATTATTGAAACTCTCTTCAGGTTCTTTTGAGAGCAGCACATCCTGTCTTTTTCCTCACAGTTTTATTTTCCTAAAGCTATATGCTACATATAAATTCTTTTTCTTAATACTGTACTTTGAAGAGAAAAATGTATTCAGCACTTCCTACACAGCAGGTGTTTTGTTGCTGATAAGTCAGTTTTTGCCACAACGGGTAGTGCCATTGATAATCAAGTTGAAAATGTTATTCTTCTGTCTTAAAATTGGACAGCAAAAATAATTTTGATAACAGAAATCTACACTATTGCCTTTAGTATATAAAAACAGTTGTTAGCCTTTCAAAAGATTATGTAACTTTAAAGTTATTGACAAATATTACAGTGAGGAAATGTCACTATACACTGCTTCTTAGAGTTGATTGCTAGTTTATAATACTCTTGAGATTATGTCAACATTGTCAACATTGTGCTATACTAAGTAAAATGGGTTTGTATTTTTATATAGACCCATTTTATTTAATTCAGGCGTTAAAAATGGTTTTTAAGGAATAGATTTCATAATGGAAAAAATAAGCAAGCACAACGTACCTGATATAATACCTTATAAACTTAATTTTATATAATCCCAGTCTGTATAAGATATGAAGAAATCTGCTAGAGACACCAGGTTTCTTTAACATGCATCACATTGCAATGACATTTTTAGTTAGGCGATTTTTTCCAAAGATTATCTCTAGTCAGCACATCAAGAGAGAATGAGTAGCAATTATTTTAGGTATTTTTATCCTGAAGTTTTAATTTTTTTCCTTATTTCTTTTACTATTTAGTTAATACAGAAATCTCATTCTACTTACTCATGGCTCTCACTGGTATTGTCATACTTTACTTTTAAATAAA